CCAAAATGAAAGCGACTGCGATCGTATGCATTTAGTCTCGGCCTCGTACGTCGATATATCTATGAACTAATTACGGTCTGTTTTCTCTATCTTCGTGCTTTCTTGCGTCGGCGGAATATCCATCTATTTATAAGCAGTAGTGGCGGCGGCGGTCGTGGATATGGGGCAAGGCGGCAGGCGCGCTGAATATCATAGAATCTCGAGGGTCACCGTCGTATAATTGACTATTTACCAGCAGGAGCATGGAGTATCAATTCGCATCGATCCGGGGCGAAGCAGAGAGAGAGAGAGAGAGGGGGGGGGGGAGGGAGAACGAGAGAGAAAGAGAGAAAGGCAGAAATAGAGAGAGATAGGGAGAAGGAGAGAGGGAAAGTGAGTGAGAGAGAGCGAGAGAAAGAGATAGGGAAAGTGAGAGAGAGAGCGAGAAAGAGGAAGAGGGAAAGAGAAAGAGATAAAAGAGAGAGAGAGAGAGAGAGAGAGAGAGAGAGAGAGAGAGAAGAAGAGAAGCAGCCAGACAACACGCCACGCACACAGCTAGAGAGCAGAACAGATATGAGAGGCTCCTCTCGATTGATTTCTCTTCATCTAGACGTTCTTTCGTACTTATCATCTCTCTCTGTCTTCTACGTCTCATCATCATCTCATCTCTCTACGTCAGTTTTATCCTCTCTCCTCTGAGACATATGTAGACCATCTTCAGCCTCGTTATGTCTCGGCTCTCTTCCTCACTTTCCCTATTCTAACATTAGTCAACTTCGGCAGATAGTTATACACAAACAAACAAGACAACAAAAAAACTTTAAAAAAACTCTCTCCTTCTCCCTATCTCTCTCTATTTATGCATGATTCTCGCTCGCATTTCTCTCTCGATTGACTGAGACGAGAAGTTCACGAGCCCAGCTTATGATCTGCTACTGCCAAAGTCGAGTACTGTATCTGACGCTAGCATGCATGAGTAGGAGAGGGAGCCACGAGCAGGGAGAATGCAGGAGTAGAGGAGAAATATAGAGAGTGAGATAGAAGGAGAGAGAGGGAGGGGGCGCGCGCTCGGTAGCTCCGTTATATATGTAAAGTAACATGTCCCTCAACACACTTCGTTTAGCCGGGCGCGCGATTCTCACCGTATATCATACACGCACACAGCCAGAATTTGAAGATATACAATAGACGACTAGAACAAAAAAAATAACAGGCGACAGGAATTTTGCCATAACTACCATGCTTCCTGCGACTGCGGTAAACTAAGCATCATTTACGACGGTGACCCCTCGAGATCCTATGATATCAGCGGCGCACTGCCACACGCACCATTGCCACCCAATATCCACACCCCACGACCAGCCGCCGCCACTAATAAATAGATGGATATTCCGCCAGACCGAGACAAGAAGGCACGAAGATAAGAAACAGACGTAATTAGTTTCCGGTAGATATATCGACGTGAGCGAGACACACGACCCGAGACTGAAAACATGCATACGATCGGAACGTTCAGCTCCGCTTACACTCACTTTTGGATTAACAACGCGACAGCAGTTGCACACCACTGTGTGCCACAGAATGGGCTCGCGCGCCTCACGACCCAACGGCGCGCCGCCATTTAAAATGTATCAGTCCCTACAAATTAACGGTTCTATTATGGCTAATGAGGCGAAGAGCACACTATCTTACGGCAGAATCATTACGGTTGAATTTTAATATAAATGTTCGAAGTCTATGCTCGGCCTCAAGCGCATACCTAACGAAGCTGAACTATACAGTGTGAAACGCGTGCGTAGGCGCACACACCGGAATAACACGGCACTGTTAGAGGATACAGTCGGCGTTCACCACACACAACACACACACAGCCACACACAAACATTGTGACACAGGCATAAAACCAGCACACTGAGGACGAACACGGACTCTCACTAACTCTACCACTACTCACACGCAAGCACAGCGCGGTTAGCTGCCGGAACGGTACCCGTGGGTACGGTTTCCGGTAACGGAACGTACCCTGGTACTGATTATATGCCGGACCGTACCTCGCCTGTACTCCACTCAGCATCCACACGAACACGGAACCTGGGACACGCACAGCGGCCACGCTAACGCCACGCCACTAACGCAGCCACGCAGGCGTACCGATAAACGCACCACCACTGCAAACACGCCACCACGCAGCACCTTAAGCCGGCTACAGACACACGCTTGAAGCCGCTGTTGCGCCGACGAACCTAGCACGCACGCACCATAGCACTGTAACACCATACTCATACCCAGGCGTAACGTTGGCCGGTATACCGACCGTCACACCGCAAGAGCGGAAGTCAGCACTACATCGGACGGCGACACAGCAGCTAACCACCACACCACAGCACCCCTCACGAAGAGGGACACACACACAGAGGTAGACGGCATCTGCACCTACGTACATAAGCTGGACGCGGGTAAGGGCACGAACTGCACTACACCGCACTGCCTGCCGAACGCGATACCGTAGATTAGATAGGAGGGTCAAAATCGCAGCTAGCGTGAATGGCACGCGGGGAATGGCGTTCTGTTGCAGGATCAAGTGTCGATATTGAGGGCTTCTACTCATGCGAATCTGGTGTCTACAGGGTTGCTCTGGGGTACAGAGAATATGAATCTACGCGTATTGGTAAAGGAGCTGTGCCCGGTTTATCCGTGGATCGGGGCAGCTCCTTCTTTATCGGGATTTGCGTCTCGGACGTGAATGTGTCAGTTTGCGGCTGTCGCACTGCAGGGGCAGTCTGGCGTCTGGAGGTTTTTATTTCTTCTTTATGCTTCGCCGGCGAAGCGTAATACTTGATTCAGCAATTTGCCCAATTGTACAGGAACGGGGGTTGGTGGGCCCGTGGGAGTGTCGTTTCGCCGCGCGCGTCGCCGAGATTTTTAATAAGGCGCGTTGCTCCGCGTGTGTATCGCGTCTCTGCTCTCTCTCTCACTCACTCTCTTTTCTCTTTCTCTCTTGCTCTCATGGCCGCGCGGGCGCGTCTCTCTGGCCTCCGGCCGCTGCTTTTCTCTCCCCTCTTTCGGTCGTCTCTCTTTCCATCTGCTCAAGATCTGCTCCATCTCTTCTCTCTCGTTCTACTTTCTTTCCGCTCGCCCCCTATCTCCGTCTCGAAGTACTCTCTCTCCGCTGCTTCTCTTTTCTCTCTCTCTGCTCTTCTCTTCCTCTCTCTCTTTCCTCCCCCCTCTTTCTCCTCTGCTCTTCCTCTCTCTCTTTCTCTCTCTCTCTTTTCTCTCTCTCCTCTCTCTCTTTCTTTCTCATCGTTCTCTCTCATCTCTTGTGCGCGTGCGCGCGTCATCTCTCTCTCTTCTCTTTTCTCTCTTCTCGTCACCTTTCTCTCTCCCTCACCTTTCTCTCGGTCTCTCTGCTCTCATCTGCGTCATTCTCGTGGTCTCTTCGTCTGCTCTCTCTCTCTTCTCCCGCTCCGCTCTCTCTCTCTCGTCTCTCTGCTCTCTCTCTCTCTCTCTCTTCGTGTGGATCTCGCATACGTATCGACAGCGCGATTGTAACATGCACGTAGAAATAATCTCTCTCCGGGGCGAATGTCGTATGGCAAATAAGCCCGTTCAGAATCAAAGCGCGCTCATTGTTCTCCTATAGCGCGTACGCGACTACTTTCCATAACTCAACCGAAAAATAAAAAATAAATTATAATTCGCACGCTGGTGGGTGGGATCGACGCGGTGTTACTCAGCGCTCGGCGTCTGCGCTAGCGCACCGGAACCCATGCTCACTTGTTTGTCTACGCGAGCGTCCTCTGTGCGTGAGCGTAAAATATTCCGGACGCATCGCAGCGACGAGAGACCGCGCGCGCTCGCTCGCATTAGCAGAATCGCCAACATTTTCCTTTGTTCTTCGCTTTGAGATGAAAGAAAGAGGCGCGGCCCGGCGAAGCGAGAGAGATTCGCTACACGCGGCGTTGAAATAACAGTCTGGCGTTTCATGATCAGCGAAAGGCGTTTAGTTTCGTCTGCAATTAAAGCGAAATGGTTATCCCCCCCCCCCATCGGAGTGTGTAGCGGGTGCACGAAATAATCAAACGACGACCAATTGTTTTAATTTATATTCAGGATGTACATGAGAAAAAACGCGAAATAGATGGTACGGTTTTGAATTAGTCTCTAATTAAAATGACTACGCAAGCTCTAAAAATCGTATATTAAATTACGATAAATTATTCCTACATAAAAATTTATTAAATCAGCGGAAAATACATTAAAAACCTTTTGTTGCGCAAACGGGGGATTTTCTAAGATGGTTAATAAATAGAAAAAAAGCGAGTCATATGACTTTTTGTCTGATAATAAAGAATGGCGTACGTGTGCGTAGCGCAAGTTGAGCGCATTTCTCAATAGAAGCCGGCAAATAGTGAGGACTTACACTGTAGTTTGGCAACGAACGATAAGCTTGAACGCCAAGAATCGATCCACGATCCACGTTTTTCTTTCGTACGTATATAACAGGCACAATATTCATATTTGCAAGTACGAATTACGACGTTCTTTTGAGTCTTTGTTTGCCACCGTTCTTGTCGGCTACGAGACGTCGTCGACAGAAGATGATGGCCAAAGACTCGATGACAGTTATTAGCGAAATGTCAGTAGCTGGTTCAATATTCCGTCTCGGTTTGAAGAGTTGAGCTAACCGCTAGATTTAAATGCCGCCAGAAGGCGTAAGGATAATGCTCAGCAATTAATGTGTGAGAGACGACGCATACCGCAGCGGAAATTGTATAGTGAAAAAGTTAACGTGTTTTCGCCGCCATCTATTAAAACTCGCATGGTGCAAAATATAAACCACGACTGTAAAAAGCTAACGTATTTTCACCGCCATCTTTTATTAAAACTCGCATGGTGCAAAATATAAACCACGCGCACTGCATGGCTTGGTGCTGCGTACACTTGGACGAACACAAACTGTCAATTAAAGGTTTGTATAAAATGTGTAACGTTTATAAACGTTATATATATATATATATATAAATATAAATATTAGTTCAATTTCGCGGAACACCGGTAACCGGACGCGTAGCCACGGCCTATAAAGAAACAGTTGTGGTGATATCCCTGGGAATGTTTCATCAATCTACTATATTTGAATTTCAGTTCCCTTTATTTTTTAATATATTTTACTTAAACAAGCAGTCGCGACTCACATAAAACTCACAGAGCAAAATAATCTTTATCGCGTGAAGTAATTCAAATTGCACAGAAGTTTTAATTCTTTGTATTTTAGCTAGTTTAAGAAACGACGCTATCGGCTAAGAAGCTTTTATAATTAATCCTAATTAATAGTAATTAATCCTATTAATAAATACCTTTCTGCATATAGCGCAAAAATCGCAGCGACGCACACTTCGCGAAACTCGTGACGTCATCAGATTTAGGGGTCGGTTGTGCGGTACGTAATCGTGTGGTGTGGTGCTAACGTAATGACGTTCGTGTGTTTCGCGGTCACCACTGCACAGCGGCGCAAATACACACGAACTATCACCTAAGAGAACATCATATACACGTGAACATCACATGATCATGAACATGAGATACACACGAACTATCACCCACAAGAACATCATATACACGTGAACATCACCTGATCGTGAACATGAGATACACACAAACTATCACCCACGAGAACATCATATACACGTGAACATCACATGATCATGAACATGAGATACACACGAACTATCACCCACGAGAACATCATATACACATGAACATCACATGATCATGAGATACACACGAACTATCACCCACGAGAACATCATATACACATGAACATCACATGATCATGAGATACACACAAACTATCACCCACGAGAACATCCTATACACATGAACATCACATGATCATGAACATTAGATTTCGAACGACGATTTTGAACACACGAACAATGATCACCTGCGCTTATGAAAGCAAGCCTTATCCGCACCGCGCCGTTCTTCTAATTCGTCGTCGGTTTACGTTTTCTAATAAAGAGATAATTGGGCTGATTAGGCCAATTACTGTAATTATGTTAAGTAATTTAAATCGTGGTCGCGCTCAGGAAATCGCTTTCCGCCGCTCGCACTACTGCTGCGAAATCTGCGCGTTGTCGAACTCAGCCGTGAGCCATACTATATAGCTATGTGATACCTACCGCCGTAGATAGCATTTAACTAACTGATCACATGCATATTGTTGTGCAGTGTTTATATTCTATATGAATCATTTTTGGGTGTGAACGCGTGAATGTACCTACCGCAGATATAGCAATTAACACTGATGATCTGCATATTGTTATGCAACGTTTATATTTTCTATGAATCATTTTCGGTCGCGGCGAACGGATTCAAACAAGACCGATAGTTATCACTTCCAATCCGTGCTACACTACAAACTGACAGGTGTTGAGCGAAATTCCTGACTTGCGAAATACATGATATAGGATGCGTATGCGCATGCGTACATTAAGCAATACACACTTAAGCAATAGATAAGAATTTTATACAAACGTTCAATTGACAGTTTGTGTTCGTCCAAGTGTACACAACCTATCGTAATACAAAGACGAGCTGTGATTGGTCGGGTCGGCACGCATGCGCATACGCATCTTATATCATGTATTTCGCACACGTCAGGAATTTCGCGCTTTAGGTATTTTATCAAAAAAGTTGTTTTTGTAACTTTTGAAGCAATAGTAAATCCAGTGAAATCAACGATTTGAAAGGTAGCGTCGCTGAATCGTGACGTGGATTTGGGAAGCTGTGCTGAGCTTTGTAATGGATGACCGAACGCGTAGCCACTGCGTTCTTTATATATGCATGCTTTTAGAGAAATGCTCGCGTGCTATTTACAATGACGTAATCACTGTAAAACCTGGATTACGCTTGCCGACTGACTCTCGCACGCAGACTCGCACGTTCAGCACACACACCACGGGTGTCTGTAGCTACTGCCGACGCAGACTCGCACGTTCAGCACACACACCACGGGTGTCTGTAGCTACTACCGACGCCGACGCGCACGTTACGGAGTGTGGCAAGGTTGTCGGCGTACAACCGGCGAACGATATTTCGTCACGCACACGCCGTCGCGGTAGATATAGAAATATAATATCCATCGCGTTTCGTCTATAGATCGAGTGCGCAGGGGGCGGATTTTTTTCTTTCTTTCGGTACGAGCCGTGCATTTGCGGGGCTCGTTGTGTTCTTATTAAGCCGCGCAGTGCGGATTTATTACGCGTTGTCCCGTGGCGTGCATGCGTGCGTGTGTGTGTGCGTGCGGTGCCGAGACGCCAATTTTTACCTAAAGCATCAGATTTTGACGTACTACGATGTGGTTTTGACGCAGGTTGACGCGGTTGACGCGTTGATGCAATTTTGACGCGGTTACCGTTGCTTTGACGCGGTTGACGCGGATGACGCGGTTTTTCCAGTTTTGGACGCAAGTTTGACGCGCTATATCTTCTGGGTCGAATACGTATTCACGCGCTATAGCGTTGTCCGGAGGCTGGACGCTCCTCTGTGTGCCACATCGAAGGCCCATCTCAATCGTAATTAGATATATTATGACTGTGTAATGACGTAGATATCAAATTATTTAACCTAGTATAAAACCTAGCGACGCGGGTCGTTTAACTTAAGCAGATAACGTCATAGGTTATTTTAGTCGGCAAGTATCAGTCAAAGTAATAAGTGAAAGTTGCACAACGAATATCCCAAGAAACTGAGTCACTGGAACACGAGTAAAAGTTATCACCCACGACGGCAGAGTGACACTTTAGCACCTACACAAGGTCGAGAGAAACACGTCACAGTTTGATGTCGCATGCCGACTGATTGTCAACGTGTAGTTTGCTAGCGCTTTGACATCACCCCCATCGTTTCCCTGGTTTCTTTTGCGCGTGGCAGCGGCGCGGCGTGATCACACAAAAACGAGTATGCACGTACGCGTAGCGGTATGCGCGCGTTGAGTGTATAATTTTGTGACAATACATCCCGACTTATCATTGCACATATACGTGCACGCGAGTATTGACGTTACATCTTATCGTTTGTAGTACCCGGCCTATCGTTGCGTATTGCATACCGTAACTCACACACTGTAAAATACACGGGAGTTCATTAAGACTAAAGCTACTGTTCCTGGTTTTCGTGCACGACACTCAACGCGCGCATACCGCTACGCGTACTGTATATATATGTATGTGCACGCGAGTATTGAGTTCGTTTATCATTATAATTTTGTGGAAAAAGAGGAAGAAGGAGAAGAAGAGGAAGGAGACGAAAGGGAGCGCCATTACATATATGCTAAGTTGATTGTTATCGTGTGTAATAGTTGTACCCGACTTATCATTGCCCGTGCGTGAGAAAGGACGTGTGTCGTCCCAGCCGTGCGTGAGAGAGGACGTGTGTCGTCCCAGAAGCAGAAGAAGAAGAAGAAGAAGCAGAAGAGGAAGACGGAGTAGGAGAAGAAGTAGACGAAGCAGAAGAAGAGGAAGAAGAAGAAGAAGAAGAACGCAGCAGAGTCGTGCGTGAGAGAGAGAAGCGTCGCACGTGTAACAGAGCCACGCAGCCGGGAAGGATAGTAGAGCCGCGTAGCAAAGCGTGAGCGAAGCAGGCAGTACAGTAGAGCCACGCAGCAGAGTCGTGCGTGAGCTTGCCCTCTCGCACGGTACTGCCCGCCTCGCGCGCGTGCCGCCAGCTGGCCAGGTGCACAGCCTAGCTATGTGGCTTCGATGCCGGTCGACGGGAACCGGCTAACCGTGACAGAGAGAGAGAAAGAGAGAGAGAGAGAGCGAGGGAGAGAGACAGACAGACAGACAGAGAGGGAGGGAGGGAGGAAGGGAGGGAGGGAGGAGAGCGAAAATCTTCTTCTCTCTCTACGACACGTCGAGGCAGTCACGGATTACTTCAGGTGAGAGACGAGAGGGGGAGGGAGGGAGAGAGAGGGGAGACAGAGAGCTGAGAGCAGTAGAGAGAGTGAGAGAGAGGAGAGAGGAGTAGAGAGAGAGAGAGTGAGGCGGCAGGGGAGAGAGGAGAGCAGAGAGCGGCGAGCGAGAGAAGAGACGCAGGAGGAGGGGAGAGGTAAGAGAGAAAAGGAGAGCAGACATAAGCAGAGAGATGAGAGAAGAGCACGAGACAGACAGAGGAGGGAGGGGCAGGGAGGGGAGGGAGGAGAGCCGAAAGTCTTCTTACTCTCCACTCACTCCTCCCTCTGACGCTT